TCTGCTCGAGCGTCATACTGCGCCACAGCAGCATTGTGATTCAAATTGTGATTGCGATGCCGGGTTGCCCCTGCGCCCGCGCGGTGATCAGGCACCTCGGTCCTAGAGGCCCAGCCCCAGCGCGAATGCAAGTGTCAGCCTTCGACAGTCCACCATCCGCGAGGAGCACGTTCTCAAAAAGTTTAGTCGGATGGGAAAGAAAAATGTGATTCGCCTACCTACTGTACCTGCTGGTCAGTGCGAGCTTGCAGCAGCGCACCGCGTGAGCTTTCAGCCTCGATTCGTGCAAATAACGCACGCGGCCAGCAGCGGGCAATTCATCCTTCCATGGATCACGTCTGGACTCGCTCCAACTCTCGAAAAGCGTGAAATCGCAGACGCGCGCTGCAGCAGCTATATGCTTTAGCTGAATGCATGCATGCAGGTGCGCTACGGTGGCGGGCAAAATTGATTCGCCGCGGCGACCCGCGACGAAGGCGGGTGCTGCCATGGTGCTAGCTGATGGCCATGGACCGCTATAGCTGCTGCCCCTCTCAGGCTCGACATGCACATTCATGCAGGACCCCAGCAACATTTTCTGTGATTCAACATCCGCCGAACCGCCGTCTCCGCTCCGCAACTGCCGTCGGTCGAGTGCATGGCAAGCGTGCTGTCGCAAGGCAAGACCGAGGTGCAGAAATGCAGCGCCACAAGATCGGACCTGCGGTGCTCACAACATTTGTGCTGTTTGATTTACTAACAGCTGTACAACCTGTTCAAGCAATACACGACTCGAGATGGACGAGCTTTTGCTGGCAGTCATGGAATGAGTGTGGGTGTCTGACCTGGCTAGCTGGCGCAGCGGTAGAATTAAGGCGCAGTCGCCACTCATCAACGACGCCAGGTCCTCCCATCTTCGATCACAGCGCACAGACACGTCCAGCAACGGCGAAGTAGTGTGAGTGGTCTAGCTGAACTAGCTGGAACGTAGAGGACGATGAAGCATTTTCAGCTAGCCGAACTCAACCGATCGAAACGGCGCGCGCCGGTCTCACTCTTGCCTGCAGGCACGAAATGCTGACCAGAAAGGGAAGTGACGATTCGTAAGTGAGCCAGCCTCACGCGGATATGCATGCTGTCAGGGTGCACACGATCAAACCCAC